AGACCTAGCCTTACCGGCCAAGGTGTTCTTGCCAGGGCACGTTGTTAAGGTTTTTACTTAGCTCCGATGAGATAGAAAGCAGTACAGAGTCGTGCAAAATAGATTCTTATTAACCATCTCTTGGGACATCAATATAAATTAATATTCACAGCTTTTTTTTGTATTTTACTCTTCTATGCTCTAACGGAGACAACCACCGAGCGCACAGAAAAGCTGAGATTTAAGGCCAAAATTCTTGCTAAGCGTAATTAACTAAAGACTATTAGCATACTAATTCCAGCTTTGAGCATTATAGACGACATATCTGAAAGTTTAACTCCACTCTACGATCGCTACTTCCTAATACCACCATCGACAACGACTGGACTATGAGATATTAAAAGGAAAACAAAATATGTGAAGAGGAAAAACAAACACTTGCGCGTCCTTCTACTACACACATTGATTACTGCAGCCTCGCCGCGCGCACTACCCTTCCATTTCTACACGGCAATATCTAGTCAACAACCAAGACTTAACAACTCCACAGGACTCCTCTCATTTCGCTACGTCTACGAATAGCACTACCCGCGATCATTACACTTTTATCTCTTTTGCGTCATTTCATCGCCTCCGCGTCCTCACAGCCCCAGCATGATGGTTGACCCGGCAGACAATGCGAGCGCGCTACTCAGAACATTCCTTCATACATCGACTCTGGGAGTGGGGTGGTGAGTAGGGAGGGGGATCCTACACCTCTGTATTGTATTCTGTGTTTTGTCTGGTCTCTGCTGTTTCTGATAGCGCTTTCCTCACTCTCACTCTCTCTCGTTGGGCTCTCGTATATGTCCGTTCTCGCCCCTCCAGTTCATGTCTTTTTTGCTCGATATTTTTGCCGCGACCTTGGTGCAGCTCCTTTATTCTTCCACGAGGGCGCAACTAGCTCACTCTTCTCTCAATGACTTCGGTCTGTGGATGCCTCGGCGTTCTCTTCTACCACCACAACAATCGGTCTATGCCACGGATGCGCAAAGTCACGGATGCATGCATATGCTAGCCTGGACGCGATACAACACATCCACCTTCGAGTGCTGGCCAAGTGCGCGGCATAGAGTATAATCAGATCAAAGGAGATAAGCTGGGGGCGCGGGGAGAGCGATCGGAAAACACCGCGCAGCACGGAGGAGACGTAGGGGAGAGGATGGAGATTTATGAATGAAGGAGCGCGGAGGAGCGGGGGAGGGACAAGTGAAAAGAAATAGGGCGATGGATGAAAGATATTCGCAGGTACCGATCGAATGCAGGAGCGGCTACTCCGTCCACAAAAGGGTCGACTGTGCGCTCGTCTATGGAAGCTAGTGATATTCAGCGAGAAGAAAATGTGACCGTTAGTGCGTGATCGGTATGCCCAGCAGATGAAAGAAGAGATGCGTCTCTCGCGCTTCGTCGCCTGCGGAATCTCCCGCGCCCGTACCCACTCTGCCCTATCCTCACCGCGTGCAGTATTACGTGTCAGGCAGAGTGGGATTGAGTGGCGGCAGTACAGGAGCTAGTTGTGTAGAGACGGGTGTACGAGAGGATATCTTGTCGACGGCTAAGCGAGGGAGCGAGGCGATGCGGAGGAGTCCTGAGTCCGAGGAAGTGAGGAGGATGGGATGGCTGCCGAGCAGGCAGAGAGATGAAACACAACAGTACAACCACCACACGTCGGGTAATCCATGCTGGGGACCTACGTGCTACGCTGCTCTAACCACAAGTAAGGAGCCGACCTCCCAGCAGGGCTGAGACGGGACCCGTTGCTGAGTGCTTGCCGCCATACCAGAACTAACCTTTCGAGTCCTTATATTGAGGTCGTTTCATTTCTCATCATCTTGTATCGCCTTACGACGGCCGCACCGGGCGAACAGCTGATCGCGAACTGCAGCTAGCTCGCAATGGCGCTGGCCGTTCTCAACTACGTCTGTCTCCAGCAACATGTCTCATCATAAATTCACCACTACTGTCCTCGTTCCGCTCCTACTAACGTACACGCCAGACTTCTTCTTGAGTCTTCCGTGCCAGTCCACGCCTCTATCTCGCACCGCGGGAAGGCGCTCCATGTAAACGAGGGGCATGTGTTCCTTCCTTTCCCGTATCTCATGTACTTCACCGCCGCTCAGCACGACCCAAACCTCCTCTGTAAGCGGGGGCGCGCGGGGCTTCCGAGCGGCGTCGCTGCGCCGTGTCGTGCGTACATTCGTCGCCGAGCAAGATTACAGCTACGTCTAGTACATGATGATATATCGAGTGAAACCTGGCGAGTACGAACACTTGGCATTGGATGTCCATTAAAACGAGCACCGGCCCCAAGTGGTAGACGGCGAAGCCTATCAGGCGAGCTCACCTCGGAGACCTCATAAGTACATAAATCCTAGCCAATCGGAGCGGAGGTCTGGCTTAGTCTTCGTGCTCGAGAGTGGCGGTAGTGGCTGTGTATCGCTGTAATTCGTACTTGATACCCGGTGCTCTCACCCCTCTTGCCGTTTAAATTCTCACCCGGGTCACGACTCCTTACCTTATCACGTTTAAAAAATATGGTGCTCATACTTATATTTTGTTCTACTTAAGAGTAGTCTTACTCTCTATACGCTTTCATATCTGTTTATTCACTATACTTGAAGTCGCCCTGGAACGGCACACTCGCTAAGCACCGCGCTATGCACCTTCAGCTATGTTAGCGAGCTAGCTACATCGAAATGTCCGATCACCTATATTTCATTATTGTTGCGGGGTATTGCTGCTCGCACGAGCATGGAGCACCATACCGGGCACAAGCGAGCTCCCGAGGCACGGCTTCTGTGCACTGCTACACGCAGTGCCGATAGGGTCCTGTATCTGAATTTCAAAAATCATATGTATTAAAACACCTTGAGGACGTACATGAAGAAATGAGTCACGAAACCTTTCTTCTCTTCCTTTTTTTAGTTTTCTTCTCTCTTTTCTTCTTTTCGACCGGGTCACTCATGTTTCCTCTCTCTCTCTTGCTTGCCTTCTCTTCTTCTTACTCCCACTAAATATTTTTCACTTGCCTAAACGTAGACTACGAACTCAGTCCTGCTTCTCGTGGCTGCTGCCTCGTCCCGTCCCCTCCGTTCCCCCGGACGCCCTCGCTCTCTTCGCCTTCCGCCTCCCATGCCTCCCCTCCTGTCTTTATTATTATTCCTTCTTTCCTCCTTACCTTATCTATCTCTACAATCTTTTTCCTTCCTTCCTTCCTTCCATCCTTTTTCTTCACTCCTGAACTCCGTCGCTCGACCTACTTTTCCAATCTTACCATCTCTCCCCGGCTGGCTATCCTCTCTCGCTCCCTCTTTTCCTCGACTACGTTGCTGTGACGTGCCGCCCACCTAGACGATCCTCCTTCTTACCACGGGTTATCGTAATGCAAACCCGGCAGATGTGAGGGAGGCGAGGGAGATTATGAGCCACCGCCCCTTATCTCGTACGGCAAATGGCCAGCAGCGCCATCAGCATAGTTGACGGGAAGAAGCGCTTGTCCCAATTACGTGCCAAGAGGGCAATGTTCGGAGAGCAGAGTCCAAGAGGAGAGGTATAGAGTGGAATCCTGGACGAGAAATCGAAGGACTAGTGGACGAACCTCTGGTGCTAGCGAAGCGGATTGGGTTACACTAGCTCATTAAGCTTTCGGCCTAGCTGTTTCTCGCTGGCGGTGTCGCCAAAACCGGGCCCCGAGTGGAATCAAATGCACGCTGACCCCTAGAGCCACTCATCGAGCTGGCATCCACCGTGCTCTCCACTTCCTCAGTCATGCTACCCTACCTAGCGCCGGTGTTGGAATTTAAAATGTTTCCTGATATAAGAAAGACTCAGCTGCATGCTAATCCGTCTCTTTTGAAAAAGGTTATAATTTAGGTTCGCATTAATGATATATATCACAATGAAGCATTCAAACAACCCAATTTAACTATACAGAAGATAATAACATCAATTAACTATGTAGTGTCAATCAAATGCATATGATCGAAATATCCGTTACATGTGAAAGAATTCCAAGTTTTTGTCCTTTCAAAACAGGCCCGCAAAAGGGCACATAATATTTATACAAATAAACTTGAGCGACCATAAAATTTTCCATCTATCTGTCCGTAATCTATCTACTTCATTTGACGCGAGTTATCGAGAGAAGGCCTTCCTTAAAAGTTTATATCTACTTCGGCCTTCTCGTGCTCCATTTTTTCCATTCCAAAAAAGCCCGGCGGTGCCATTCACCCTTCTAGCCGCACCCAGAGCCTTTCTTGCCCCGCAGGCCAGTAATGGCCACCAGACTGCCATCATTAAGACATGCTCCCCCCCGCCCCCTTCTCTTCTTTCCGACTGTCACACATCCAGCGCTCCTAAATAATGTTGGTCCGCAGGGGGGGGGAAGCACGAACGTTGCCCTCCGTCCGAGAGGAGTCTCGGGTGCCGAGTAAGTAGCGCCCGAGGGAACGCAAAGGGATAAGGAGTGAGGGGGAGCTCTCACGCTTGAAGACGGAAGGAAGGAGGAGGAGGAGGGTGGCGCAGGCCCGCTCTCTGGGGCTTCCTCCGCGCCGCCCAGTGGCCGCAACCAGCCTCCCGAGGACGGGGCTCGGGCGGCCGGGGCGGCGCGGAGTGCGGTCGCGGCGGCGGCGGCGGCGGGCAGGCGTCGAGCCGCCTCGTCGCTCCCTGCCGTGCCGACATCACAGAACTGTAAATGATGAGGATGGCCGCCGTCACAACTCGCGGGGCGCACAGTTCAGCGGACACACACACACGCACACACATTGTATAATAGAATATTCCAAAGGTATTGCACAGGGCGAGCCGAGCTGGACCGTCCCTCCGCCCTCACTTCACGGCACACTCTGCTTGCCACTCTGAGCGGCGCTGTACCACAACACCACACACTCACGCCAATGCACAGGTCACCATGCACGAGCATGGTAAAGGGCACCATGCAGCCGCATGGCACATATCACCATGCACATGCATGGCACGGGTCACTAAGCTAGGTAGATATCACAAGGATTACCGTCTGCTGGAGGCGGAGTGGAGGAGGTACTCCATGACGTCAGGCTTGCCCACGCAGCACGCCCAGGTGAGGGCGAGAACCCGTCGCGGTTGGTGAGGTGCAGGGACGCGCCGTGCGCCACCAGCACCTTGATCACCTCCAGGTTGCCGTCCATACACGACTGCGTGAGCGCCGTCTGCCCGTCCGCCGTGAAGCCGTTGATCTGCACCAGCTGCGAGTACCGCGTCAGGATGCGCTTCAGCTCCCGCGGGTTGCCGTCCAGCACCGCCCGCACGAACTCGGCCTGGCACCCGAACTGCTCCACGTCGCCGTAGCCGGGCGGCGCGGGCGTGAACTGGAAGCCGAAGTCGGCGAGCCGGGCGCTGGTACCCGGGGCTGGCGGGGCAGCTGTAGGCTGGAGAGGCGCCGCCCGTGCTGCCTGTGCTGCTGTTGCTGGTGGTGCTGGTGGTGCTGTAGGCGGGGCTGTGCGCGGAGTAGGCGGGCGAGTAGAGGCGCTGGTCATCGTAGGGATCCGTGAGGGGCAGCGCGGGGGAGGGAGGCTGCGGCGAAGACTCTCCCGCGGACATGACGGAGTCGGGGGAGGACGGGGCGTCGTCCGAACACACCGAACTTGCGCGTTCGACCTTCATGGCGAGAGCGGGAGTGCGAGCGGCTTCGTCAGGACACCTTCCGGAGACTCGAGGCGAGGAGGGGCGCGGGGGGAGAGGGGGCTCGGCTGTGGTCCCCGGGGTTCTCAGACGCGGAACATGTGACCTTAGGAGGAGCGCGGGGTCGAGTGCTCGCGGCGGGGGCTGGGGACTGACTGAGCGGGAGACGCAGTGTTGGTGCGGCGGCGCCGGCGGTCTGGCGGCGCTGCTGCGCCCTGGCGGCAGACCCGGACACCACCACGTGGGAAAAACGGACGGCAGCGTGAGAACGGTGTCAGAGCCGACACCCCCTCGCGACCCTGAGGTGCCCGGCCACCATAGCGTCGTCACTCGCCGCACTCGCGCCGCAACCTCCTCGCAGGCGACGTCGCCGCGCCGCCGCGCACACTTTCTAACGACACGCCGCCCGCGCTGGCTCTTGCAGGCCGCCCGCTGCCTTCGGCGCAGGAAGATGCGAATTGATGAATCACAAGAACTAAACAGATCGACACAAGACCAGAATATGACAACAGTAAACATAAACGCAAAATAAGTGAAACGTTTTTTTTTTTTTTTTTTTTTTTTTTTTTTTTTAATCGTTACAGCCCCCCCCCCTCTCTCGCTATCAGTGTATTATGTGTGTGTCTGTGTGTGTATCCTTCTTTTCTCCCCTTTCTCCTTCTCCCATCGTTTCCACCCCTCGCTCTCTTTCCTCCCCCAGTCGCAAGCAAGCGACTGGGGGCGCTGGGCGTTCGTTTTCGTTTCCCTCCTAAAACACCACGAAAATGCATGTCACTAAACTCTATTGTGGTTTCACGGGATCAGACTCCGCTCCCACAAACACCTGTTATCTGCGCTCCGACTCGGCCATTCCATCTTACTTTTGCTTTTATTGTTGTTATTTAAAGTTGTCGTTAATGTTATCAGTGTCATCATTATTGGTGCTATCATTGTTATGGTTGTTGTTATTATCATTATTATTACTAATATTATTATCATCATTATTTTATCTTCATTATTATTATCATTATTATTATTTATTTTTAGTTATTGTTTTATAATAATTATTATTATTATAACAATAATGATATTAATAATGATGATGATAGTTATCATTATTATCCTTAGTAGTAGTAGTATTCCTATAGCTATTATCATTATTTTCATAACTACTAATATAATTATCATTATCATTAATACTGTTACCATTATCATTACTATCATTTCTATCATTATTATTACTATCATTATCAATATCATTTTCAGCATAAACATTACTATCATTATAATCATTATCATTATTATCATCATTTCCATCACTTTTATTATAATAATCATTGTTTTTTACTGTTATCATTATCACTACTGTTATTATCACTAGTATCATTATTGTCATTTTTATAATCATTTCTATTATCACTGGTGTTGCTGATAATGGTAATTACTTATCATTATCATTGACATTGTTATCAATATCATTATTATTTTTTCCATTATTCTTGTTATTTGTGTTATTATAGTCATTATCATTATCATCATTATCAAAATCATTATCACATTAATCATAATTAGTTAGTAGTAGTAGCAGTTATATTATGTAGACTAATATTATTTTCAATACTATTACTACTATTATCACCATTATTGTTATAAGGCAGACAGGCAAAGACGGAGAGCGACAGAGACAGAAAGGCAGATAGACAAAGACAGAGAGACAAAACACAGACAACTGACACATATGAGACCCCGTTCTAGAGAGTTGGGGGGGGGGGGATGCTAACCTTGGTGGTTCCGGTGATCTCTGCGGACCAATCAAAATGCCTCTACGATCGGATGCCTGCAAATGTGCTAGTTGAAATCAGCGCGCTTGTTCCGATTAGGGAGTATGGGGGAAGGAGGGGGGGGGGGAGGGAAGATGGTGAGGAAGGAAGGGAGGAAGAGAGGAGAGGGGGGGATTGAGGGAGGAAGAGAGGGAGGGGGGAGTGGAGAGAGAGGGGGCCGGGAGAGGAGAGAGAGAGAGAGAGGGCGGTGGGAGAATGAGAGGAGAGAGAGAGAAAGAGGGCGGGGCGGGAAAGAGAGACGAGAGAGAGAGAGAGGAGAGAGAGAGAAGAGAGAGAAGAGAGAGAGAGAGAAGAGAAGAGAGAAAGAGGGAGGAGACAGAGAGAGAGATTCTCAACAGTTTCCAGATATTTTGAAAAAAATAAAAACTGAAACGCTCTCACAATAAAACAACAAAAGCCGTAGATAATAACATTAAAATCGATAAGAATGACACAACAACACAAAGAACAACACAGAAGCCAGCGAAGCAATGACGTCAAACATATCAGAGGTGAATCCGGCTTAAAAATATTCAGGCAGATAGAAGAAGAAGAAAAAAATAACAAAAAATATAATAAAATGTAGCCTTCGTCTGCGATAACAGGAGTCCTTCACCCCCCCCTCGTCCCTCCCTTAGGCCCCTCCCCCGTCCTTACTTCTTGATGAAAAAAAATATAAAAAAAGAACTAGGGCAAGATGAGAGGAGGAGAGGAGAGGGGAGAGGGCGGGTTCTCTGCAGAGGTAAGATAATTTCGTCCTTAATCTAGTTTTATATAAGACTGATTTTCTACTGAGGATTTAGCGTATGAGTAAAAATATGAACTATAAACCTCCGTTGATTTGTATCGTGGATATAAATTGAAAGAAGATTGTTCTATTTAAGACAGAACGAGCCAGGCGAGGTGGCGGGTGTTGATAAACGAAGCTTGGTAATTTAAATACCGGGGTTGGATACCATATACTATATATAGAACAGAGAGTGCGATACAGAATGTGTGAAAAAGTGAGCAACGCGATACCAGGGGATCAGGGGCCATAGCAGTTGAGACGTGTGTTGAGCAGGTGTCAGGCCAGAAATTGGCATAGCTCTGCCCCTCCCCTCTCTCTCTCTCTTTCTCTTTCTGTATCTATTTATCTATCTACATCTATATATATTTATATAAACAAACACACTTACATATGTGTGTGTGTGTGTGTGTCTGTGAAATATGTAAGCGGACATGCATGCATATACATATTTATGTACATTTACGTATACATTATACACATACTTATACGTGCATGTATGTGCAGTGTATGTACTTATTTATGTAAGAATGTATTTATATTGCAACTTGAGAGGTCGAAAATCTTCAAGAAACGGTCTTGCTGAAATCATATATAGAGTTACCCGCTCAGGATACATGTCTGGATTTCATAATTTACTAAATTATCCTACCGTTCAAACCTGTTTTTATTGCCCATCGCCATCCTTCCCATTCTAAAAAGGAGAAGCTGAAAGGCAGAGAAAAAATCAAGGTTTACCAGAAGACCGCCTTGCCTCCCGTCCTCGAGCGCCGAAAAGTTTGTAAACAAATCCGGAGCAATCCACCTGCAGACGCCCGGGTTTACGCGAACGCCACCTGATGATTGCTTGTCTTTCGAGCGGTTATTACAAGCTGACTTATCAACGCTGCCAGATTTAATGGTCAGACCAAACACAGATCAAATTGTTGTTCTGCCTAGGTCGCGTAATTGGCACGGTCGCCGGGATAACTACATCGCCGTAGTTAGTAGTTATGGCCGGACGATGACTGTTATTGGTCCTTACGAGAACGCCCCGCGGTCATCATGGTAGACGATGAAGCATTCTCTCTCTCTCTCTCTCTCTCTTCTCTCCTCTCTCTCTCTCTCTCTCTCTCTCTCTCTCTCTCTCTCTCTCTCTCTCTCTCTCTCTCTCTCTCTCTCTCTCTCTCTTTTCTTATGTGATGTAGCGAAATAAGTAAGCCATAATGATGGTGATAGCAGGCTGTGAAAAAAATATAATGATGCTATTGCTAGTATCAGGTGCTACTTGAAGATGATGTCAGTCATGTAAGGAATGTTGCATCAGTCTTGATAACATTGCAGTAAAAAACAACATATACAAGAATATGAAAAAACGAAAAAGGATGGAGAAGAGATAGTAAGAGAGAATACAACAAAAAGAAGTTGAAGAAAATGAAAATGGAGAAGTTGAAGATGGACACGAAATAAAAGGAGAAAATGGAAAAACGGAAATAATTAGAAAACGAGGAAGAAAGAGAACAGTTAATCGAATATAGAGAGCAGTAGAATTATGAAGACAGAATACGAATGAGAGCAAAGAGAGACAACGTAAAGAATCTGTCACTGGTGGTCAGAGGAACCTAATAACGAGCATGGAAATGGGGCATTTATGTTACCTATTTACCCATTTAATTGTCGTGTTTACTCTCCCATGGTTGTTTACGGTGAGTGAAATTACGTGGTCAATTTAAGGCTTACGGGAGATAGTCAGAGACAGGGGGGGGGGCAAGAGACAGAGAGGAAGAGAGAGATGAACAGATAGAGACAGAGAAGGGGAAAAGAGAGACAGAGAAACAGACAGACATAGAAGGGGAAGGGAGAGAGAGAAACAGACAGAAACAAAGGAGGGGAAGAGAGAAACAGAGAAAGGGAAGAGGGAGAGACAGACAGAGGGAAGAGAGAGAGAAAGACAGAGACAAATAGACAAGACAGGCAGGAAAATATATTGACTGACAGACACACAAACAAAGACAGAGAGTATGTGTGGCTGTAAATTTGCTTACATCCACGCTAAAGATAGGAATTTTTGAAAGCTATATGTCATCTAAATCGTTGCTACTAATGTTTGGCCTACTGCAATAACTACAGATATTTGCCATGTAAGAGTTAAAAGTTTTTTATCGCTATTGTTTTTTATTCTTTTTCTTTCTTTCTCTCTTTTTACGGTACTTGCTTTGGTTGTCGAAGGCAGTAATAATATTTTTTATATTGGTTATGATTACGTGTGAAAAAAAACAAAATGGTGTCA